GGCATCACTGGCTCTTAATGGATCTGCTTTACCTTATGTAATTGATAATCCTAAAAGACGCTCTGCCATGTTCATTGGATTACCAATTAGACATTGCATGTACACGATACTACGACCATTACTGGAAGACCTGTATGTACGTGAAACTGTGTGTGTTGACTCTAAGGATGAATATAGTAGTATAGCCTGTAATGCTGCAAATGAATGCTTAAAATTCAATTTACCCTCTATCACTGATATGGAACAGGCCAGCATTAGCTGTAGGATTGATGCTCTTTGTTTCTCACTGGAGTCCTCCTCTGGTATTCTCAACTGGTTTGAAGAGAAATGGAGACTGGTTGTGTTATCACTAGCTTTCTGGACTAAGCACGTTGTCCCTGATATTCATTTGATCAAATCCTTGATATTGTGTTTTGTTGTTTGCTCTCTGGACAGAGACCCTTCATCACATATACCACATTCCACCGGCTTGAGTTCGTCATCTCGAAATAATGACATTCTTCACATATTCTCAATGTGGCAGTGTGTATATTATGACACTATGAAGCTCAACAATGTCCTAATGAATCCACTTTCATTTACAACACCAGCTCTCTTGTTTGATGGTAAACTAGCTATGTATTATGCTAGTCTGGCAGACATTGATGGCACAGTTAGATCGGAACTGGTTTCTTCACTTCAATCACTAGCTTTGTTTAACTCACTGATGTTTGTCTGTACTGAGAGTCTAAAAGCTGCCACTAAAGATGGTGTACAGTACGATCAGACTGTATATTATAAGTTCAGTTCTAATTCAAGTAGTGATGATTTTGTATTTTTGCACATTTAATTTATTTTTGATACTATTAGCTAATGAAACAAAAATGTCATCTATTTATGCTTAGCATTGATAATATGCTACATAAATATAATACAACAAACTATTTTTTATAATCCATGTGAATGTGTGTATAATCAATGAGCCCCACCTATTCAACGCCCACTTACTTAATTAGCTCATTTCATGGGCGGTGTCTCCTCCTAAATGTCAGCAATGCTATCTCATATTTACCTTCTTCTCTTTACTTCTCTTCTACTAACAAACAGAGACACAGTACAAGGTAACTGCTACTAGTACACATTATAATCTTTACTAATACACCAACAGGTCAATACAACGGCGCTGTTAGGCTTTGGAGGAGCGGCCAAACATCTTTAACTTATACTTTTGGTAGAGTACAAGTATATTTAAAAGGACAGTGGGGTAACGTGTGCTGGAACTCCAATGCCGACTCTGTTTTTACTAAACAAGAAGCTGACGTGACCTGTAGGAACTTGGGCTACATTGGATCCTCGTACTACTCAGCATCTAGCAACGACAAGTATTATGATGATAAAAATATTAACATTGATATTAAATACAATTGTTATTATAATAGCTTAGATCTATATGTAAGACTGAGGTCGATTTTTTATCAATATAGTATATGCATGTGCAGCATAACATGTAATAGTATTCTTCATTAAACCTACTAATAATAGCACTAATGCTTCCTTCTTCTAGTTATGGTGTGGATCCTAGCCCTACTCTCATGTATAGAGTGCACTGTCCATCGACTGATCATAGATTATTACTGATGAGCTGCTCTCATGATACAGACACTATCAGCTCACACTGCACTGATGCCAATGATGTTGGTGTACTATGCTGTAAGTGTAATTCTGCTTGTATTATGCATGTATGTAGTCTCGCCCTGCCCCTTCGCTTACCTGCATGCAGGTAGCTAAGGGGTGGGGCAAGACTAGCATGTATGCTACTACAGTTTATGTTGTATACCGTATATGCCATGTATTTTGTGGAAAAAATTTGCGAAATTAAGATCCACAAAATAGTGAATTACATTAAAATCGCAAAAATTTTATTTCCAAATATAAAAATCCAGCCAAACTGCAAAATTTTATACCCGCAAAATATATGGCATATATGGTAATCTCTTTCTCTCTCCCTCCCATTTCTCTCTCTCTCTTTCTCTGATAGATTCTAGCAGAATATGGTTTGATCCGTATCCTGGTATGGTGAGACTATCAGGTGGTGATTATATTAATGAGGGTCTTGTTGAGGTATATTATAATGGTGTCTGGGGTAAGGTGTGCAACCTACTCACACATGATGCTAATACTATATGCAAGCAGTTGGGGTACACCTCTTCTCCACTGAATGCCACTGTGTAAGTAAAATATGATTATTAGCATTCTTTATTTGGTGCATGTAGCTTTGTCTGGGCTACCTTAAGGCCACTATTATTTGCGAGTACTAATTTTTTTGCGTTTTTTGCGAGTGGCTTTAAAATTACAAAAATTAGTACTAATAATTTACGTTTATTAATAGTTATTAATTGAAAAAATGAGCCAAATCGCAAAAATTAGTACATGTTAAATCAATACCATTAACAAATCGCAAAAAATTGGCTACTTAAAAATAAGTGGCTTTAAGGTAATTCTTATGCATGCATAATTTTTAGTACAACTTTTATCAAATTTTGCAGGAATTTAAAAAATTTTTATGAGATTTCTAGCATAAAAATGATTATAACTTATTTTTATAGAATTGGTTTGCCTAGTCAAGTCCATTGGTACAATTCATTGCAGTGTTCTTCATTGAGTGATTGTGTTCATGAGTGTTCATCACTTCCTACCATTCCTGCTACTTGCTTTCATAGTGCTTACATTCACTGTGGTATGATAACTTAACAATCAATATAATGTTATACATTTATTATTTTTAATGTGTACAGAGTATTCTGCAGGAAACTCCATCAATGATTTATACTCTTGTGATACCAGTAAGTCATTATTAATAATTACCTTGACCATCTTTTGATAAATTTGGTAGATAAATATGGCCATATTTATCCAGCATTTTAGATGTAGTTTATTAGTTTTAATACACTAGGACAATATCCTATTGGAGAAGGTGCTATAAGACTCTTTAGTAATGGTAGTACATCTACTCAATATAGAGCTGGAATAGTCCAAGTCTTTGTTAATGGCCAGTGGAGTAATATCTGCAGGAAGGAATCATTTTCACTCACAGAAGCTAATGTATTGTGCCATCAATTAGGATACTCTAATGCACTCAGTTGGAGCCATGTTGCTCAAACAAATATGTGAGCTTTAGTATTATTGTTATTATTATTATTTATGCCAATTTTAATAATTGGTATGATTTTAATGACTTTATCAAAAGATCACCTATTGAGAATTAGATTGTAGTAATTTTACATTAAATGAATTATTATTTGTATTTTTGTAGTTATGGGGTTGATGGTCATGCTCCTGGATTGGGTAACGTGGTTTGTTCTGGTTCAGATTTTCTAACAATACAACAATGCTCTCACAGTTCAACGATTGACCCCAGATGCATTGATGGTGATGATGTCATTGTTAGATGCTGTAAGTATGATTTTAAAAATTAATCCTCCTTTATCAGTTGCAAAATTTTCAATTTTGAAACAGCCACAGCAAATTTAACATATTCTGGTAAGATAAGACTCTCAGATGGGCCTTTCTCTAATGAAGGGCGAGTTGAGGTTTATTGCAATAACGAATGGAGGACAGTCTGTGATGATGCACTTAGTCCTACTGATGCTTCAGTTATATGCAGGCAGCTAGGCTACACGGATTATATCAATTATGAGTCCAGACTATAGTAAGCTTTTAGCATGAGATTAATAATTAGTTTTATTATTCATTCGTAGTACTGGTAGTGGTTTGTTGTGGTTTAATAGTCTTCAGTGTTCATCTACTACTGATTGTATAACTGATTGCCTCTCCACTCGCAATTGCTATATAAATACTTGCTCACATAGTTATTATCCTTACATTAGATGCAGTGAGTTATGTAGCATTTAGCACAGTAAATGTTTTAAAATCATTATTGCTTAGGTTTTAATTCAACTAAAGCAAGTCTGGCTATTGGATCGATGAGCAATTGTTCCTCAAACATTGGTAAAACAATAAATAATAATAATAATAATAATAATAATAATAATAATAATAATAATAATAATAATAATAATAATAGTAATAAAAATTAGTAATTACAATATTATTATTGATGATAGGAGGGGCTCAATCTGGTGCTGTGATACTGGAGAGAGATGGTCAGTATTCTTTATCCCACACTTCAGGTCGTGTTGTGGTCTATGGCGTCGGTTCATCTACAGTCAGTTCAAGGTCCTGGGGTAACATTTGCAGGAGAAATACTTTCAGTCTAACAGCAGCTAATGTGATATGCCACCAGTTGTCCTACACTGGTGCTATAACCTGGTCCTATGCTGCTGTTGACTTGTGAGTCGTACATGTACTAATAGTTTCAAGGGAGCTCCATAGACACAGGGCTATAGTTCATGTATTTTTCAAGAAAATTGCTAGTTTTTTATCAGAAATTATAGTCAGAATCAGCTATATAGCCTAAGGACATCAATATGTATTAGAAAATGTAATAAAAATTTTGGGTGATTTTGGAATCATTTTTTTCAAAAAAAAACCATGGGCTATAGTCCATGCCTTTTTTCAAAATTTGCTGGTTTATAAAAAGTGCTCATAACTCCAAAATTTGAGCTCGGATTTAGCTCAAACTTTCTACATAGCATAAGGACATCAATGCGTATCAAAAAATGTGATAAAAATTTTGGGTGATTTTGGAGCCATTTTTTCCAAAAAAAACCATGGGCTATAGCCTTTGCTTTTTTTAATTTGCTACTTTTAAAAAGTGCTCATAACTCCAAAATTTAAGCTCGGAATCGGCTCAAACTTTCTACATAACATAAGTACATCAATATGTATCGGAAAGTGTAATAAAAATTTTGGGTGATTTTGGAGCCATTTTTTTGAAAAAACCATGGGCTATAGCCTTTGCTTTTTTCAAAATTTGCTAGTTTTTAAAAAGTGCTCATAACTCCAGAACTTGAGCTCGGAATCAGCTCAAACTTTCTACATAGCATAAGGACATCAATATGTATTTTAAATTTAATATAAATTTTGGGGTGATTTCAGAGCCATTTTTCAGAAAAAACATTTTTCTAGTGTCCAAAAATACTCATAAAGCAATCATAAATAATGCCACAGCTTAGTGTTTGTTTTTTATTAGGTTTGGTATAGACAGACGTGATGCATTGGTTGGTAGCGTTAGTTGCAGCAGGAGTGACTTCATCTCTTTATTCCAGTGCAGTATGAGCACTATTGTTAATAGCCAATGCACTGATGCTGATGATATTTCTGTTACATGCTGTGAGTTTATGCAATAACTTGAGCATCATTTTCCTTTACTGCTCTCTTTCACTTCCATTTTAACCACCATTCTCACAGACTCAACTAGAATATGGAACAACCCTTACCCTGGTCAGGTTAGACTTACCAATGGTGTGTATGCTAATGAAGGATTGCTTGAGGTGTATTGCAATGGTGAATGGGGCACTGTATGTCAGAATGATTTCGCTGCAACAATAGCACTGGCAGTTTGCAGGCAGCTAGGATATAGTTCTTATTACAGATACAACCACCTAACAATGTAAGCCTATATCTAGAGTCAACATTGTTTATTTTCTTATGTTATTAGTGTGGGTTCCTCTTCTCAACCAATATGGCTGAACAGTTTTACCACCAGTGCTTGTGCCTATTGCATCTCTCAGTGTCAAGTTTGTCCTACTAATGTTACTGTTACTACCTGTGTTCATGCTCAAGATGTGACACTCACTTGCTGTAAGTAATGAATGATGATAGATTAAAAGAAATTGGCAGTTGATTGAATTCTGCATGAAAGTACAGAAAAGTATAAACGATTGAGCTTAACCATAAATCCACTCACAACAACAGCATGACTTTATTAAGTGCTCTTCCCCTATGTAATTATTATACTGATTGTCTTATTTATGTATGCCTGTAAATAACTAGATCTAGTAGTAAATTGAGTCATATTTCCTTTAAAATATCTTCATTTCTATTTTTCATCATAATCGTATTTTTAGATTCTCCTTCTTGGAATGATCCGACTTACATTACGAACACTACTTGCAACAGCAGTACAACACCCACTCCAACTCCATCAAGTGAAGAAGGTGGATTGAGTGGTGGAGCCATTGCTGGAATTGTAATTGGATGTGTTGTTTTTTGTGTAGCTTTTTCTATGTTTATTATTAATGTGACTAAAAAGAAACCTCCTTCATGATTTATATTATTTTAAAAATTTTTAATCCTTATGCTTTTATTAAAAACTAATATGGTTTATGACTGATATTTTAAATCATGATAACAAATGTATGTATGTAGTCTTATAGTACCATGAAATTATTTGAATCGGTTACAAATTTGCAAAGAAATTGGCGACTTCAATACATGCATGTAACTTTAAATTATTTATATAAATTAAGTTAATAAATAAATAATATTGATGACACTAAGAATGAAGCAAATCAAGCAGCAATACTGTTATAATAATAACACGGTCATCATAAAACTTTCCATTTGTTATCATCCATGACTTCTATCTCAACCTTCCTATAATTAATATTACTCATCCTTTGCTTTGTAATAAACCTGGCTACTTCTTTAACAAAAGACTTCACGGGCTCGAACCCACCTTCCTCAGCCAAAGAATCAGTATATGCCCATTGGAGATCTCCTGACAAGCTGTGAGCATCACGAACCTTGAAACCATTATCCAGACGATGCTGATAATCCCGATTTGCATCCGCTTCCATTTCCTCTCTGCTCGGAAGCTTTGTATTACCAAGAAGAACAGAGAGGTAATACTTGACTTGTGACTCAACTACAGCCGATGGGATGATGCGGTAGTTTAATCCAATGAAAGCCATCGATGGGAACTTGGTGTTAACCATATGCTTATAAAGAGGGTGTACTCTATGATCAGTGATGCCAATGGAGCACTCTGGTGACAAGAATGGAAACTCATACTCGTATCCGGTACACGGTAAAATGGCATCAATGTCTTCATTAGGTATGACCGACCCATCTTCCAATAGAACAGACCCACATTCCTTTATAGAGCTCACTCTACTAACATCATGCATGTTTGGAGGAATGCTATCGTATCTTTTCTTCATAGAACCAGAGTGGCTCACGAGGACTTCTTTGGCAGTTTTAGCTACCTCTAGGGATATGTCTGTTCCCGATTCGCCAGCTCCAATGACTAGAACTCTCTGTCCTGTAAATAATTCCGGGACACGATAATTATGACTGTGAACAACAATTCCTTTAAAATGCTGGAGGCCATCAATATCGCAATAAGGTTTGAAGAATTTCCTAATAAAATTAAAGTGGAATTATTTCCTACATAACAGTAGAAGCCGATGCTTTAATTATGCTACATAGGAATTGTTCATTATTGACTACAAGTATCTAATTTTCTAAAGGCGTCATTGCCAGAGGCCATTTTTGATATGGACTACAAGACTTCAATTGTTACTGATCATAACATAATAACTTATTAGTCTATTATTTTCATGACAAGGTTGCTTTTTAGCATGTATAATAGTCTAACATGTTCTCACATTCATAGTCTTGTTGCAAGTTAGCATGTACATAACCCACCCACACCAATAAAACTCACCCAGTACAGATCATTATGATATCGTACAACTTCCTGACTTCTTTCCCAGAGAGAACATCGCGAACAGTCACTTCCCATTGGCACTCACTTGAGCCAGAAGGCGAAGGAGGGAAGAGTGGTCTGACGTTTGTTGCTTCGGAATTATAATGAATGTACTTGTGTAGGTTGTAGTGATCAGTGTATTGCTTAATGTATTCCAATACATCTGTGTGGTGAGGGAAGGTGGGCAGAGAGTCTTTAAAAGGGAAATCAGGATAACACATTATTTGTTTAGGAATGTTAACCCTACGAGTTTAAAGATTATAATAAGAATTATAATGTCTGTCTTACCTTAAGTTTTTGTACATGCTGCTATGGATGTGGAGGCCTTTTTCATTGTCAATATCAGTCTTGTCCGTGTAGACCCAAGTGCCCCCAATCTCCTGTGTCTGCTCGTAGCAAGTAAGCTCAAATTGTTCGGGATATTTGGATAAATGTTGTAAGCAGCAGAGGCCAGAGAGTCCAGCTCCAATCACAGCAACTTGACGCTTGCCAGCCATCTCTCTCAATGTGATTGTGATTTGTGAATAGGCGTGTCTGCTCTAAAAAGGCGTGTCCACTCCCAGGATAATTATGGCTTTTCAGTTCTCTCGCCTTAATACCTCTACTATGAGGACAGTTCTCCTTTGTTCTGGTGTTGCTGTGGTTGGTTTGGCTGCTTTTAGGTACTTCTATGTCATTGGGAGGTCGTGTACTAGCAAGAAACGTCTGGATGGTAAGACGGCCATTGTGACAGGAGGGAATACAGGGATTGGTAAAGAAACAGCCATTGATCTAGCAAAGAGAGGAGCTAGAGTCATAGTTGCTTGCAGAGACGAGAAAAGAGGCAGTGATGCTGTGCGGGATATCAAGGCAGCCAGCAAGAGCGAGGAAGTGATGATGAAAAAGCTTGATTTGGCTTCCCTTGCTTCTGTACGTCAGTTCAGTGAAGAGATACTTCAAGAAGAGAGTCACATTGATCTACTCATCAATAATGCTGGGGTCATGTTATGCCCGTATCGTCTCACAGAGGACGGGTTTGAAATGCAGTTTGGTACCAACCACTTGGGACACTTCCTATTAACTAATCTATTATTAGATTGTATTAAAGAATCAGCTCCATCTCGTATTGTAACTGTTTCCTCTGCTGCCCATTATCGTGGATCTCTTAATTTCGATGACATGATGTGGGCCAATGGTGGCTATAGCACGGTAGACTCCTATCACAGAAGCAAGCTTGCTAATGTTATGTTCAGCAGGGAACTGGCCAAGAGACTGGAAGGTACTGGTGTATCTACTTATTCACTACATCCTGGTGTCATCAATACTGAGCTGACACGACACATGGTTGCTGGTTGGAAAATTATATTTGCTGTAAGAACAATAATTTTTTGACAAAGTGTCCATTATTTATTCCTGTAGCCTTTGCTATACACTCTGATGTGGTTTCTCACAAAGACTCCAAAGCAAGGGGCTCAAACTACACTCCATTGTGCAGTGTCAGAGGAAGCTGAAGGTATTACAGGCAAGTACTGGTCTAATTGTGCTGTCAAAAAGCCTAACAAGCTGGCTCTTATTGATGAAGATTGCACAAAGCTTTGGGAGTATAGCACTGAGCAAGTCAAACTGTGATCTTTAAAGACAACTAGCAGATTATTTCTTTAGCTATTTTTGTAGTTCTGAACGTATAAATTATAATTCAATGGAGGATATGAATATTTGTTTGATCTACTACTAAGCAAAGCTAGCATTTTCATATTTCTATGTATTTCTGTGGAGCCCTTTTTCATTGTAATAATCTGCTAATCTGTATGCTCCAATCTCAGGTCTGG